AATGTATAAAATAATATTCACTCTTAAATATATTTTTTTTCTTTATTTTTTTTTCACTCTTAAATATAATGTGCTTTAAAAATTGTGTAGTTTTACTTGATAAACAAAAATTTTAAGAGCACCAGGGCTAGTGCTATGAATATCTTAATCACATGCTATAATGAACACTACAGCAGGTTATAGAATATTAAATTATTAAATTGTAGAATATTAATTTTTTTTAAAAACCAAACCATAAAAACATAATATAATAAACAAACAGAACATTATTCATGAGATACAAAGTCAGCAGCCTTTACTCTAATTAAAATAATTAATCATTTATAGTAAGTACAGGTCTCTCTGTCACTACATACAAGGACATTTCCCTTAATACAAAATCCATTTGGCACAAATCCAATGTATAGCATTCCCTTTATAAATTCACTTTGAAAAATGTATTATTTTTAGTTGATACCTCTGCAGCCTATAGGTTAGGATTATTATAGTTGTAGCCAGGATTATGGCAAGGTTTATGGCCAGGGATTGCCAGATAAAATCAACACTGTTGCTAATTTTTCTACATGCCTGGGCCTGAACATCCACAGAGGAAAAAGTAAAGTTCTCAAAGTCGATGCATCAAACAGCAGCCCTATAACATTGGCAGACAAACCCCTAGAAGAAGTGGATAGATTCACCTATCATGAAGTATTGTTGATAAACAGGGTGGGACAGAAGCAAACAAAAAAAAAGGATGAGCAGGGCAAGAGCAGTCTTAAAACCTGTTTTACCCTATGAAGCTGAGACATGGAGAATAACTGCCAAAAATAAAAAGAAAAGAAACTCTTGTCTCAGAAACATTGTTCGATTATGCTGGCTTAAAACCATCAGAAATTATGTCCTATGGCATGGCAACAGACAAATGAACTGCCAGCTGAAGAAAAGATCCTCCAGAGAAAATGGAAATGGATTGACCACACACTCAGGATGCCTGTATTCATCATAATAAGACAGGCCCTTGAATACACTGGGCAAAAGAAAAGAGATAGACTAATGAAGACATGAAGAAGTGACTTAGAAAAAGACACCAAGAAGATTGGATACACCTGGGGACAGTTGGAGAGACTAGCCCAGGACAGAGACGCCTGGAAAGCTCTTGTCAGCGGCCTATGTCACTGGAGGGACGACAGGCAAACCTAACCTGAATATGGCCTGGTATAGAATTTAAGTATTTTCAGTATTAAGTAGAACATCAGCAAATACATGTTGGATATCATAGTAGCACCTTATTTATTTATTAATATATATATTAATATATATTTTTTGAGACAAAAAAAAATAACTACACTGGAAAATAATCACCCAAAGCATTGAAGTTTAAAAATTAAGTAAAAGTAAAAAAAGAAACTGAACATTGCTAAAAATGTATAGAAAGAAACTCAGAAATATTTAATGGAATAACCCCTATACAAGAAATACTGCAAACCAAGCTTAAAGACATTTAGTTGACATAAAGCTCAGGATTATCATGTAAAGATGTAAAAATGGGATTGAAAAAATACATAATGTGGTGAGTCAAAAAAGAATTGGGGAAAAAAAAAGTTTCACAGTCCATATTGGCACCATTGCTATCGGTTCGCATTAGAATCAAAAAGAAATCACACGTCTTTAAAAAGGTTATTTCTCTTTACCCTTTTAAATCCTGGTGTAAAACATACCTTTTTTTAAAAATTATAGTTGTTCAAAATTCACAAAAATTAAATATTGTTAACGTGCTTTCACTAAACATTTCAATACAATAAAATCTTGTACAATTTTAGTCTTGACCTACAAGTAGACAGTGCTTAAACCTTTTAAAATTGAAAAAAAAAATTATTTTTTATTTAAAAGACACAGCAGTGAATAAAAATTCCTGATGACAAACACATTACTTGCATAGTGAAAGTGAACATGGTATCAAGATTATTTATTACATAGATAAACTTTGTAACAGTAATCATAATTTCCACATACGGTATAATACTTTGTTGTTTTAATCAAAACAGAAATTCTTTGGACATAACAAAATTGTAAAAGAAAAATTAAATATTTTTAATTTGATATTTTATGTTCTAAAGTTGATAAGATTTTAAAATACACACAAAATATGGCTGGCCACAATATCCCTTTAATCTGATAAAAAAAGAAGTTTTTCAGATAGAGAAACAAATATTCTAGTAAAAAGTAAAAAAAAAATTATATAATCTTACAGTACAGTATAAAGTGATATCTTACATATTCTAAAAGTAATTGACAAGTAAGGATAGGTAATTAAAAGGTTACATTTTTTTTTAATTAACATTCTACTAATGTGTGATATATGTACAAATTCATTGTGTTCACTGAAATTAACAATGAAAAATAATTAGATAAAAAATGAACACTGTGCTGTTCATACATACAATAAATGTTTTCAAGTTTAGAATTATAAACACTGAACTTGTCTATTCAAAATGTAATTTTCCATACTTTATTTTTAATACTTTATAAAAGCTATCACATTTTATTCAATACAACATTAATTTGAAATTTTTAAAACTTTTTTTTAATTAGACAAATTGGGTTTCCTCATTTATCTTAACAGAACAAATTTTTCTTTTTTAATTTTAAAATCAATTTAAAATTTGGAATTTAAGAACAAATTTTTCTTTTTTAATTTTAAAATCAATTTAAAATTTGGAATTTAAGAACAAATTTTGCTTTTTAAATGTTGCTTTTATAAAATTAATTTAAAATTGGAATGTAAGAACAATTTAATTATTTATTTTGCTTTTGTAAAATCAGTTTAAAATTTGGAATGTAATCTTATTTAACTTAAATTATGAGATTCTGAGTATAATATACATAAAAAGAAAAGTATATCCCAACACAAAATAGACTACATAATGCTATTGTTTAGGTTAACATAATTTTATACACATATGGAAGAATAACAACACAGAAGAGTTGTTATAGTTATGTGAAGCCTCCCCACCTTGATATGTTTAGTGAATCACTCAAATAGGACTTTATAAAGAATGTCAATCCAAATTTTTTTTCAGTCAAACAGCCCACAGATACCCACATTGTGCTAAGTAACATGTGGGTTCATGGGGGGTCAAAGGTTGCCATTATAAAATATGTACAATGGATTGAATGGAAGAATATCACAAGTTAAATATTTACATTTGGCGAAGCTTCATCAACACTTTTCGTGTATCATACTGTAAAAGGAAGCTAAAACTATAGTAAAAATATCCACTATGTTAATTCAAATCAGCTCTTTTAGTTTATCATACTGTAACTGTAAGCTAAAAACTGCAGTAAAAATAATATCCACTACGTTAATACATATCAATTCTTTAATTGTATGTTACAGTAAAACAAAGCTAATGACTGCAGTAAAAATAATATCCACTATTTTAATTCTTATCAAAACTTTTAGTGTTTTATACTCTAACAGTAAGCTAAAAACTACAGTACAAATAATATCCATTATGTTAATTCATATCAACTTGTTAGTGTATTATACTGTAACAGTAAGCTAAAAACTAAAATAAAAATAATATCCATTATGTTAATTCATATCATCATTTCTAACATATCATACTATCATTAAAGAAAGCCTAAGTTTACAAATCAAAAGAATTATTCAGTATACAAAGGCACATTAAGACATTATTACCTAACAATATTTTCTTTTCAAAAAGTCAAGCAGAGCTGTAAAAAAAGTAATATAATTTCAAGCTAACAGTGTCACTTTTATTATATCTAACTGGATGGTCAATTTATATCTTTCATGAACAGGAAGTGGAAAAGTTCAAATTAATATCCTATAAACAAAACTGTATCAACAAATTAGTTGCATTATTTCTGCTAACAGCTAGACATAAAAAAAATATGTTTGGTGTAATGTTAGTTAAGAAAGGATAGTGTTGAGTTTAAGTTAAAGTTTAGATAACTACTTGTGCAGGACACAAAACTATGTATACATTATTCTCGTCCATATAAGCCAGCTTCAACTTAGTTTAGCTACATCTATACCAGTGGTTCTTAAACTAAGTTTGATTGAACCCCAGAGATTCGGTGAGTCAGTCTCAGGGGTTCAGCTGAGGTCAAGACACACACCCGACTCGTACGATTCATGATCAGATTTTTTCAGTGCAGGTTATAGAACTTTTGAAAAGGATTTGGTAGGGTTCACTACCTTCAAAAAAGGCTAAGAACCACTGTTCTACACCCTTTGCAACACAAAATTTAGCTAAATAGCTGATTTGTATAAACACAAAATATATCTTATCACAGTATCTATTACAGATCAAATGTGTAATATTATATAAAGTACAATATTACATAAAGTATAACATTACATAAAGTGTGACATTACATAAATGAAACATTACATAAAGTATAACATTAGATTAAGTGTAACATTACATTAAGTGTAACATTACATAAAGTGTAATGTTAGATTAAGCGTAACATTACATAAAGAGTAACATTTTACATCTGACCAAACACAAAGGGTGCAGTAATTTTGATAAAAATTGTAAGAAAGTTTGTTTTATGTTGCAACATCCATGTTTTTAAAGTATCTATTTCCAATATAATATTAAAGTTAAAGATTTTAAACAAAATCAGACACATGAATGTTTTTGTAAATTATATATTGTAATATAAAATTTAAAAACAAATGACAGCAAAAGAATTTATATTTTATGATCATTAGGTAATTTAATTGTAAAATATACTACATTGACTTGTAAATCCTTATTGACTTGTTGCTTGTTTCAGATGGTGTAAATAATTAAAACATATTGGAGAAAAAAAATGGTGTTTTGCATTACAGCTGAAAATTTACTAAAAAATACTTTTTTAAAATTTAAATAGTTTAGCTTCATTGTCCCTGTTTTGTTCTAACCTTCTAACCCTAGGATGTTTTATATTACATATTACAAAAAATGTCAAAAAAACATTTGAAATTTTTTTTTAATTTGGTCTGTTTTAAAAATTGACAAAAAAAATATTATTATAAAAAAAAAGGTTAACCATTAATGTGATTGCTTTTGTTCTAATCTTTTAAATTTTGGGTGCTTTTAGTTCTTTATAACTAAGGAAAATAGACCAAAAAAAGATTATTTTTTTTCCTAATGTTGCTGCAAGGTTAAAGATGGAGTAATGGGAGGTAATCCAACTCCCTTCAGTGGAGGAAGAGTTGCCTGGATTGGCTGAGTTGGTGCTGATGGTACAATGGAAGGTAATCCAGTCCCCCTGACAGGTGGCAGAGTTGTCTGAGCTTCCCCCTCCAGGTCACCCAGGATAGCTCTCCTGAGTGGTGGGAGTTTGTTGGCGCTCACCTGGTTCTGCTCACTGTTCTGTTGGTTGTTTTCATAGAGGGCGTTGGTGTAATTCTGGTTGGTAACTTGATGGCCAATGGGGGGCAAGGCCATAGCCTGTAAGATTTATTTTAAATAGTTTTGATTATACGAAATAATTTCTATTTGTATTAATAGAAACAAGTTATATGTATTGATTATAAGGAATATTTCCTACTCAATTCATTGGAAACTTTTTCTATTTTAAATTTTTTTAGAACCTTGAAGGCAGATATTTAAATCTTGTCACAAGAATGTTCTATTAAAAAACAACTTAACAAAAGATCTATCTTAATTTATTTAATTTTGATAGATTCTTATGTGTTGTTTTTCTTAAGTTAGTAAAGTACATATAAATTTCTTAGTATTACTTGTACAAAAATAGATTCTATTTAATACTAGATTATTTCAATATCCATATCCTCTTAGATTCAGAGTTTCTTCCAGGCATGCCCCCCCGAAAAATTTTTACCGACCCCCGAACGAAATGAAATTTATATAATTTATATAGAAATATATACTTTTAACAGTGTCCGCCCCCCCGAAGAAAGCTTACCGCCCCCCCCCCCCCCGAAAATTTCAAGTGCCCCCCGGAGAAAAAAGTCTGGAAGAAACACTGCTTAGATTTTAGGTCAGAAGCTTGAGATAAGTGTGTTGAGGGGAGGGGGGGGGGGGGGTTGCATACACATACCTAATAAGGTTAACCCACGGCTATACAAATATAAATTATATAACAATAAGAACTAAGGTTATACAAACATAAACTATGTAACATTAAGAACTAAGGTTATACAAATATAAACTATATAACATTAAGAACTAAGGTTATACAAATATAAACTATGTAACATTAAGACCCAGGCTATACAAAAATACACTATGTAACATTAAGAACTAAGGCTATACAAATATACACTATGTAACATTAAGACCCAAGGCTATACAAAAATACACTATGTAACATTAAGACCCAAGGCTATACAAAAATACACTATGTAACATTAAGAACTAAGGCTATACAAATATACACTATGTAACATTAAGAACTAAGGCTATACAAATATACACTATGTAACATTAAGACCCAAGGCTATACAAAAATACACTATGTAACATTAAGACCCAAGGCTATACAAAAATACACTATGTAACATTAAGAACTAAGGCTATACAAATATACACTATGTAACATTAAGAACTAAGGCTATACAAATATACACTATGTAACATTAAGACCCAAGGCTATACAAATATACACTATGTAACATTAACAACAATGTATGGTAACAAATCTCTGAGGATCACTCAATTTTGAATTTTATTTTTTCAATTAACAAATTTTAGAAAAGCTCTTCTTCTTCCTTCTTAATTTTTCAACAGCATATATGGAGCATAACAAGGTGACACGAAATACTTAATTGTGTTGGAAAAGCTCTAATTAAGCTATAATTTTAACTTTAAAAAATTTATGTTTTCCTACTCACAGATTAAACACGGCTGCGGTGTAATTAAGGCCCTTGATTGAGAAACCTACCTGTGGGTAACTGGGAGGTGAGTTGTCCCCAGTGAACGGATACCTGTCCAGGGCTTTATACATGGGCCTGTCACCCTCAACGACCTCGGATTTCCCACCTTTGAAGGTGACAAAGAAGGCGAGGTTAGGCCCAGTTCCTGTGATGGCCTCGGATGAGCTGATAGTGTAAGGGCTGTCAGACCTGGATGTTTCGTCTTCGGCTTCACTGACAGTGTCAATCTGAGGGGACAGTGTTACAGGTATTAATGTACTGACTTGCAAAAAAGCATACATTTACATGTATATAGACACATGTACATATACATAAATAAACCATAGAAATACAACTAAACTGTTTAATATGACTGTATAAACACATTATATTATTTTTAGAAAGCTTAACTAAGAAATTGTAAAACATATTTTTTGTAAATTAAAAAAAAAATTTTTTATTATACTTGATTAGTAAATAAAAAAAAGATTCAGAAATTATTTCTGGTGTAGTAGAAAATTACTAGGCAAATTACAGACATCAAGAAATTCTTTTAGAATTTTTTTTAAAACTGGACAGAAATTGTTTTTAAGTAATACAAAAAAAAAGATATTTCTGAAAACAAAGAAAGTAACATATCAACTTGGGTAAAATTATTTCATTAGAACAATGATTCTTAAATTCATGTTTTGTACTTACCTGTGTAGTTTTAATGTGATATGGGAAATTTCCATTGGCTCTGCTGGGCATAGTCAGAAACTGTGGAGAAAGTCAAAATAGCTTTAATTATTAAACAATTAACAGCCACCTCCCAGCAAATTTTAAACGCAACACCCTAATTATTTAAATAATAAACAATTTTATACAGTAAAAGTAAATAAGTGAAATAAACTAGGTTTTTTTTTCATTTTAGCAGTACCAAAAATATTTTTTTCTCATTTTTATGACCGACAAAGACATCTTTAAAATGTATGATAAAAAAACTAAACATGAACTTCAATATTACCAAGAACACAGAATGACCAATACAAGCAATCAGCTGCTGTATTCCATTGACAGATTTTTCTCTGGTCCATTTCTCCATGGCAAACATAGCCAACATGGTGGTGAAAGGGGCAGCCCAGAACCTGAAAACAAATGGTCACGTCAATAAATCTTAATACATGCTAGAATCAGGTTAACAGAACCCAATTCAATATTGAAATTTTAGATATACAGCACAATGATAAACATCCCAACTGTTTACATATTTTTAATGAAAATTATTGTTAGTAGAGTAGTGAACCTTAAATCTTGAATTAAATTGAACTTATACTGTTTATCTCATGTTAGGGGAAGTAAATGTGGCTGGGCAAAATGCTGACCACACCTTCCCTTCTTATACCGAGGTCAAGAAACATATGAACTCTACTTCATCTGTCCAATGGCTCTCTAGGACTAAAGAGGATTCTTTACTTTACTTTACTTTTTATCAATTAAAGCATTAAAATTTCTAGTTGGTTTTTTTCATAAGCTGGATGAGAAAATAACTTTGATAACATGACATCAATGACTGTTTATCTCATGTTAGGGAAAGTAAAAGGCGGGTGGGCAAAGTACTGACCACACCTTCCCTTCATATACCAAGATCAAACATATGGACTCTACTTCATCTATCCAATGGCTCTCTAAGTCTAAATAGGATTCTTTACTTTACTTTTTATCAATTAAAGTATTAACATTTCTTATTGGTTTTTTCATAAGCTGGATGAGAAAGACTTACATCAAGTCAATGACATACCACACTAACTAGTGGGTCTATATTGTTTCCTTAAACAGGTGATAAACCAGGTATTTATAAATTTAAGTTTATTTCAGTTTTTATTTTTATTAAATATATACAAATTGTTTTTTTCCAAGTCACTGCCATTAAATAACTATAAGTTAGCAAAAACAAATATAAAGTTTTATAAAAGGAACAAATTTTGAACAGAACAATACTTGCCATATGGTGAAGATTGTGTAAAAGACGATGTAGAAGTGAGACTTAGAGTTGTAGTGCTTTAACGTGAAGACCGCAGCTTTAGTGAACCACAGCCAACCAATCAGAATGACTGTGATCATCCCATAGCCCGGGGGGCTCTCGTAGTAGTACAGGACAAGTCCAGGATCAAACAGCTAAATGAGGTTAATTAATTAATAGATTAATTAGAGGACAAGTCCAGGGTCAAGCAGATAAATGAGGTTCATTAATTAATAGATTAATTAGAGGACAAGTCCAGGATCAAACAGCTGGAGGAGGGTTATTAATTTAAAATTAATTAGAGAATAAGGTCAGGATCAAATAATTAACATATAATTAGAGGATAAGCCCAGAATGAAACAGCTGGATAAGGTTAATTAATTTCACAGATTGATTATGAGAGGACATTTGGATCTAACAGCAAGATGAAATTAGTTAATTGATTAATTATGATCTTTACTTTTTAACACGTTTTTCTTAACTCAGCTTCGCATTTATTTGTTTGTTTGTTTGGAAGCTTGTTGTTAAAATTGACATCGAAAATTAGCCCACTTCTGATTGCTCTAGAGATCTGAAATTTGGAATGCAGGCTATTTTCGCCTAACAATTTCAGATGCAATCATAAAAACTAGCAATTAGAGACCTAAATTAGCTTAATTAAATTATGCCCCAAGGACCATAAAATCGAGGACATGATTTCTAAACATACCGACAAGACTGGAGGCCTATTGACACAGTTACTTCGGCCCTAATCGATGTGAGCGCGCTGGCCGTGATCGTATAGTGGTTAGTACTTCGCGTTGTGGCCGCGACAACCCAGGTTCGAATCCTGGTCACGGCATGTAGGCTTAATTAAATTACGCCCTTTCTCGGTTTAAAGCGTATCGGTCGCTCAAGATTTTTAGTCCGTGTATTTATAAACACTTAGTCAAGTCATACTTAATCAAGTCATAAGATAAAGTAGAAAATAAACTATATAAAAAACTTTTTAAAAACCACGTTTTTCATGTGTAGCAACGGACTAAAAAGGAGAAAATAAAATACTTAAAAAAAACTTTTTAAAAAACTACGTTTTTCTTGTGGACTAAAAAGTAGAAAATAAATTTTTCTTTTGTGCTTCCTCGAGCTGTGCAGGTTCTTGTGATGACTGACAAAAAACGTGGGTCGGGCAGATGGGTCGGGAAATTTGATGGTGAACATACCCACGTTTTTTGTCAGTCATCACAAGAACCTGCACAGCTCGAGGAAGCACAAAAGAAAAATTTATTTTCTACTTTTTAGTCCACAAGAAAAACGTGTTTTTTTTTTAAGTTTTTTTTAAGTATTTTATTTTTAAATTAAAACATAAGTTCAACTAAAGGTAATCAATAGTAAGATGAATTGATTCTGACCATGTCAATTATTGTTATTAAAAACTATGTAAAATCAAATTTCATTTAAAAATATGTTAGTTGCTGTCAAATTTGAACTTAATATTTTTTCTACTAAATCAGATTTAAATAAGTCAATAAGCTAAATGAACTCAACCATGTTTAGCAAAAGTAAGCATTCATTAAATTTTAATTTAAAGTCAAATAATTACTATTGTTTATGACCAAACTGAACTAAATTATATTTACTAAACTTACACAATCTATCTTGAATCTGTTGGATGCCCCAGATTTAAATATTACTACTTTAGTAGTAAGTTTAGTACTTTACCTTTACTTAAAGACACACTACATTAAACTGATCCTAGTACAATTTGTACCAACAAAACACTCACCACCCCTTCCCATATAAAAAGCACCACCAAAGCTATGACATAGAGATTGATGAAGACAGTGATCTTGACAGCATTCTTCTTTGAGAGCCTTCCCCTTACGATTGTGTAGCCTTTAGCCATCAGAATCAACATCAGCATGAACACAATGTGACCACATGCTTGAAGGATCCGCCCTGGAAATAATATTTTAAATAGCTTAAAAAATTTAATTGAATTTAATGGATTTTTTTTTTAATTACGGGATTTTCATAATAGGGCTGGTAAGTAGCTCACCAACCAGTTACATGGCTTTTGCAGGTTTTATTGAGCTGTAGAACTGGTTGGTGACCTACTTACCAGCCCTATTCTTGTTTATTTTATTACAGAGTTAAACCAGCAGGGAAGGCCAAAGACAGAACTGGAGGCAGAATCTTCTTGAAAAAATTAAGAACGCAGGCCTGTCTTGGGATATTGTAAAAAATTACACTCGGGGACCAGGTAATGTGAAAGGTTATTGTTGAGGCCCTATGTTTCATAAAGTGGACTAACTCATTCAAGGTATTGAACAAATAAATAATTGAAACTATTACATCATAAACATTGTTTTTACATTTTAAACACCAATGTGTGGAAGTTCACTTATTGTACAAATGACATTTACTGAAAAATTAATGATCCTTCTGTACTAGCTGCTTTTGTATTATAAAAATGGAATCACAAAGGGTAAAAAAATTACTCTAAGAGTAAAAGTAAAGTTCCCTTTCAAACCTGACGGTCTATGGGGCAAGTGAAGTAGAGTTCACTTGTTTCTGTGACTTCGGCATATGAAGAAATAGTGTGGTCAGCACTTTGCCCAGCTGCCTTTACTTTCCCGAACGTGAGTTAGTTACCCATCAGAGTTGGGTGGACTCAGGGACGGTCTACTGACTTGAATCCAGATTTGAACTCAAGACTTACAAATTAGCAGTCCTGCTCTCTACCGCTAAACCAATCTGTCCCCTACTCTAAGAGAGTATATGCTAATAGTCAAATTAGGCTTTTTTTTTAAAAAAAAAAACATAGGTAAAAACACAGGTAGAGCTATACTGTATCATATCAAGGTTTCTTATTCAATATTAACGTTAATGTCAGGGTTACATTAAGGGTCACGTTAATGTCAGGGTTACATTAAGGGTCAGGGGTCAGGTCAATGACACGTGTAGAAAAAAATAACTGATCTTCCTTAGGGGTCATCCATAAATGACGTCACGCTTTCTTGGACGATTTTTACCTCCCCCCCCCTCCCCTCCGTCACATGTCGTCGCAAAAAGCCAGACCCCCCCCCCTAAAATGACGTCACACTTCAGCCAACAACCCCCCCTCACAATTGCTTTTGAATTTTTCATGAAACATCGATATTTTTCCAAAACCTTGTCAGAACTCTGTCAACGTAGAGTATTTTGATCAATTCCTATTACAATTTAATGAAAACCGTTTTCTAAAATGCGAAATAACGGCTAAAACTCGTTTTCTAAAATTGCTTTTTATTATGCAAAAAAGTGACGTCACACCATCTGAACACCCCCTCCCCTCATCACACACCGTCACAATATTTACGGACCCCCCCCCCCACCCCCTACAAGTGTGTCGTCATTTATGAACGACCCCTTAGTGAGAAGTAACAAAACCAAAAAGACTAGGGTTTGAGATCCACTCACCAAATACCTCCAATGGTCTAAGCTCCCAGCCAGTGGAACCGTAAGATCCCCAGGCTATGACCATACACAACAGGTGTAGGAACCAGATGATCAGGGTCACCATGTACATCTTGTAAGTGGTGTGGAGTAGTTTCCTCTTCACCAGTACCACTGGAGAAATTTTAAACATTAAAAACATTAACTGGAAATTATTTTCACTTATTTGGTGTATATACCACTGGAGAAATTTTAAACATTAAAAACTTTAACTGGAAAAAATATTTTCACTTGTTTGGTATACCTATATATATGTTTTGAATACAATACTATTTAAAGACTTTTTAATAGTAAAATAAATAACATTGGTTATTAGGAGCATTTCCTAATAGGGGTTGCTAAAGGATGCTGTCTTAAGAATGTTGTAAAAGGAAATTGCCTTTAGAAAGATGCCTTACCTGCACAAGCAATTGACAGAGCCACCAAGATGATGTAGATGATAAAAAATATAATATCTATCACCAGAATATCTGGAGATAGAAAAAGAAAATATTTTCATTCAACTTTAGATGACTAAGACAATCTGTATAAAAAAAAAAACTAAATTATTTAATTAAAACATGTATTTTAATGTTAAAATATGTTTACATCACAGAAATTAATTGAAAAAATACAGTCAAATACAAATTTAGTTAAATAATGGGTGCAACAGCATCTCATTTAAATGTTTTAAAATTTTGTTTCAGTCTTTTAATTAATTTTTAAAATAAAGTTACTATCACTTTGTATTAATACTGGTATATTATTGGGAGTTTGCAGTCGTCCCACCCCCCACCTCCTCACCACATACAAAATAGAAAAAATATTTCATATGAACTCTACATCACATTATGAATCAATACTTTATATGTTATTAGTAGGGCCTAAATATTTTCCAAAGCCATATGAAAATTTTAATCCTGTATAGATTGTGTAAATTTTGTAAAAATTTTATTTTATTGGTTAAACCAAGAATAAAAAGCTTCTAATCAACAGACTCTAGATTTTATTTTTAAAAAAACACTTTTTTTTGCTGAACACTTAATTAAACGATTCTAGCCTAAAAAAGATAGATTATACTTTGCGTATTAAGATAACAAAAACTAAATATGTATAAGCTTTTAACTTCTTTTATTAAAAAATGTCAGGAGATTTAAGAACTTTTTTAAAAAGATTAATAATTCTAAGCTTTATTATCATTTTTTAAAATTACTTTTTATTTTATTTTTAAAACAAATTTTATTTTGAATGTTTGCACTGAATGTTGATTTAAATGAACATTACTAATTAGTTCTGAAATCTAAATCATAAGAACAGGTGATAATCCTGATTTAGAAGTGGTGCCTACCTAAAAGGTGTCAAATATTTCAGGATGAAAAAAAAAAAGACACATAAGAACATAAAAAATTCAACCCCACATAACCAAATGAAACAAAGTTTATTGAAACAAACTTACAGAACTCATCAGCAGAGAACTCCTTATGTAGCAGATCATCCCCATTGGTCATGTGGAGCTTGTAATCCAAGTACATCCCACGAGCCTTAAAAAAAGGGTTGCAACCATTTAAGCTATTTGTAGGAAATACATAAAGTCTGAAAATGGACTCAGTACATTGCTTTGTTTATAAATTCTGCAAGAGTTGCCATTTTATTTGACTTTAGGGAAAAACTGTATGGGTCGCCTGCAGAACGAGACCACTGTCCAATTCATCCAAGAAGTTGGACTTAATTTTGTTGTTTAAAATCCACAGACATAAATACAATTAAGAACGAAGAAGAAGAAAAATTTAACGTTAATCCATAAAAATTTTTTACTTTTTAAAAAGATACTGATTTTGCCTTTTTACTTTTTTAATTAAGCTACTCTCCTTTTTCAAAAACAAATATACTGAAAATTGTATTTTGTTTTCTAAATTACTTATTTTCTATGAATTACACTTATTTATTTTGCTATTGATTTTTATAATATAAGCACTCTTAATTTAAAATACCATATTCAATAAATGGTGACAAAGATGTATATATCTTCAAATTAAAAAATCATCATTTTTTACAAAGTAAATAAATTTAAATATATAATATTAGTATTGTCATAAATTCATAAAATGTGTTAATTGACATGGCATGTATTCTGTTGTTGACTAGTGGGCCATATTGTGATAATAGGGCCACATTGCACACATAACACCAGAGTTTCTTCCAGGCATCTCTTCGGGGAGGGGCTTTGCCCCCCCAAAAAATTTTTACCGCCCCCCCCCCCCCCCAAACGAAATGAAATTTATATAATTTATATAGAAAATATATACTCTTAACAGTGTCCGCCCCCCCCCCCCCCCCCCGAAGATTTCAAGTGCCCCCCCCCCCCGGAGAAAAAAGTCTGGAAGAAACACTGCATATCACTTACTGTATTGTTGGCTGGTGGGCCACATCATGACAAGAGCCATACCACTTACTGTGGGCCACATCATGACAACAGCCATATCACTTACTGTGGGCCACATCATGACAACAGCCATACCACTTACTGTGGGCCACATCATGACAACAGCCATATCACTTACTGTGGGCCACATCATGACAACAGCCATACCACTTACTGTGGGCCACATCATGACAACAGCCATATCACTTACTGTGGGCCACATCATGACAACAGCCATATCACTTACTGTGGGCCACATTATGACAACAGCCATATCACCTACTGTGGGCCACATCATGACAACAGCCATATCACTTACTGTGGGCCACATCATGACAACAGCCATATCACTTACTGTGGACCACATCATGACAACAGCCATAACACTACTGTGGGCCACATCATGACAACAGCCATATCACTGTGAGCCACATCATGACAACAGCCATATCACTTACTGTGGACCACATCATGACAACAGCCATACCACTTACTGTGGGCCACATCATGACAACAGCCATATCACTTACTGTGGGCCACATTATGACAACAGCCATATCACTTACTGTGGTCCACATCATGTTAACAGCCATATCACTACTGTGGGCCACATCATGACAACAGCCATATCACTTACTGTGGGCCACATCATGACAACAGCCATATCACTTACTGTTGGCCACATCATGACAACAGCCATATCACTTACTGTGGGCCACATCATGACAACAGCCATATCACTTACTGTGGACCACATCATGACAACAGCCATATCACTTACTGTGGGCCACATCATGACAACAGCCATATCACTGTGAGCCACATCATGACAACAGCCAATTCACTTACTGTATTGTTGGCAGGTGGGCCACATCTTGACAGCACCACAAACCACCACCTCTCGCGGGCTGAACTGAAATCCATGTCCCCAGTACAGACATACCACTCCTGGCCTTTCCTCAGTTCTTTGACACACCTGTATAAGTGATATATTTATTAACACCTGTATAAGTGATATATTAATACCTATATAAGTGATATATTAACACCTGTATGTGATACATTAACACCTCTATTAATGATACATTAATACATGTATTTGTGGTATATTAACACCTGTATTAATGATACATTAACACCTGTATAAGTGATATATTTCTGTATTAATGATATATATATATATATATATATATATATATATATATATATATATATATATATATATATATATATTGGTGATAGATACACCTGTATTATTAGTAATATATTGAACAACTGTATTAATGATGCTATAATACCAGTATTTGTGTTACATTAACATCTGTATTAATGATGCATTAACACCTGTATTAGTAATACATTGTGATACATTCAAACAAGAAATTAGTCATATATTAACATATGTTTTAGGTTTTAGGTTAATGTAATATACTTATTTAATTAACAGTTCTTGAAATAATTTTATAAAACCAACTAGAATGAAGAGATTTTATTAAAATAAAAAGACTTTCAAACTTTAAAAAAAAAACAAATCTAAAGAAAGGGAAGAAAATATACATTCTTTAATGACAGATTAGGTAGACAACAAAAAGCTATTGCCTTGAAGACAACACAACTAGAAAGCTCACACAAAAGATATGATATAAAAATTGAAGCAGAAGGGATTTAAGAAGTATGCACAACAAGATTAAAGGGGGATTAGATTGCTCCATTCTTATAACATTTATTTGATTACATTTGTATCAACCATCAATCAAGCTATTTATTCTTAATAAATAGATGTGCAACCTATGTTAAAAAAATTTGAATCAAATATTCATTTTTGTTAATGCATAAATGAGACTTAACATTTTAATAAAACATGGATTATTTTGTGATCAATAATGCTAGGGTAATTACTGTAATTACTAGAATAATGTACACAAAGAGATCAGTGTTTTCTATTAGACTTTTCTCTGGAGGGGTGGGGGGGGTGGCACACTTGCCTTGAAACTTTCAGATGGGGGAACTTAGATTTCCAGCTGAGGCGGTAGACTATGGTTAAAGTGTATACAAATTATATATTTTATATATATTTATATATATATATATATATATATATATATATATATATATATATATATATATATATATATATATATATATATATATATATATATATATATATATATATTATATTATACATATTATTATATATTTTTCCTATTTTATTCAGAGGGGTCGTGGATGTGATCCATTAAGGGGGGGGGGGGGGGGGTAGTATTATTCCCCCCACCCCCACCCCACAGAGGGATGCCTGAAATTAACTTTGGAAGAGATGATATGCACTGGCAATTATTGCCTGGAATAACCATGCCTTAAGCCAAGGCAAGTCTGTCAACAATAAACTTGGGTATTTAACAACAAAACAAAACGGGTGCAATAACAAGGCTAGTCTTTAAATTTAATAGATATTTTGTTGGATATTTTAAAATCCATACAATTTTTTTTAAGGGACAGCAGTTTTGGGTACTGTCTGTAGGACATCCATAAGTTCACACAGTTTAATGAGTATAGGACTTATAGTATAGTGAAGGCAGCTGGGCATAGTGCTGACCACACTATCCTTTTGTGTACTGGGGTTAAAAAAAACCAGATGAACTTTACTTCATCTGTCTATTTAAAGGGTATCTTTAATTTACAATTTTAGTTTCTTTAGGCAAGGTAGTACAGTATCATGTTGAGGTTTATTTTATGTTGTTTTTTTTACTATTTCTATTAGTATGGATTTTAGTGTTAAGAAAGAAAAATCTGATGTGGTTTTGGGAATATGGTTAGTCGCTGGGTAATTTTAAGGTAGAAATACCAAAATAAGAAAACTTTAACACACTTGTTAAGAAACAAAAAATAACCCTCCAATGATTTCCCATTTAGAGCTCTTGCAGGAAAGGTAAGTTTTCAGACTCCTCGACAGGATTAGTTTACAACATATGTACGTAGCAAAGCCAGACATAGTAAATTATCAAACAACAAAACCATCAATATTGGGTGAAGTATTAAGAAAAGTGCAAATTTTATTTCTAAAAAATACACTAAATTTTTTCCTAGCAACTACAAATTTTACCAAAACAAATACACATCTACTGAAAGTTGAAAATGTTATTACTTAAAACTGCTGTTGCATCATTAAACTTTTTTTTTTTGCTTATTTGTTGCTTGGTTGCTTATTTTAGATTTTGCTTATTGAAAAACAGAAAAAAAGCAGACTTTATAGAGAAAAGCATTTTTAGAAAGTATCATCAAGACATGCATGGAGCCATCTAAGTGTATTTTTAGCAAAAATACTTTTTTAAAAATGAAAAATATTCCACAGACCCTCCATTGCCACTGTAAAAAAAAAGTTTGACCAAACAAAGCTCAAAAAAATCAAAATTTACATTCAGTACAACAAAACCAAATATATAACTTATTGTGTGTAAATATAATTAATAACTTATTAAAACCTGAATTAATTAACTCTTTTAATGTGTTCAATAAACTATTTTTTTTTTATTTTAAATATTATAAAAATTAAAACTTTATTAAAAAATTGTATAATTCCAATAATGTAATCACATGCCATACCTATTATTTTTTAAACACGAATGTTATAAAAATTGTTTAACATTTTAATAATTTTCTGCTAGCTGTCTTTTTTTTAAATTATTTTAATTAATTAAATAGACCTAATTAATTAGAATTATTAGTTTCTTTTAAAACACATTTAATCTAATGTAATGAAGATTACAAATTGGCTAGGGTTAATATACTGCTTATGTTTGACACCAATCTATAGAGAAACCTAATCAGATTTATTTAACTGTAGACAATCTTTTCAATGGAATAGAATAAATAAGATTTAATTTATGTTGTGATTAAAAATTATTATTATTTTTTTAAATTGTTATAAACTATAACTATAAAATGAACACATCAAGTTTAAAATACAAGAGTTTTCAAAACACAAAGGCAAATTAAAATGAAAAAGTTCACTGAACCTTGAAAGTAAGCAACTCAGTTTGTAGGATATAATACAACATACATGACTACTGAACTGTATCAAAAATAAGGTCTTAAAAGTATTGATTATCTTTTCAAAACATACAGGGAACAGTGTATTACATTACATTAACCCAACATTTAAACTCCACAGCTGGCTGTGATCAATGTAATGGGGTATGTCAAGAAGATAAAAATAGAATATTGTGCTTACATAGAGCCTGCAGGAGCCAGGGGAAATATATTGGATCCTCTTAAAGCAGCTACCTGTTCATCACAAGTCTAAGTGCAGAACAAAGAAAAAAATAAAATAACAGTAAAACAAGTAATTAAAAAAAGTCTAGTGACAATTTTAGCGCAATTTCCTTGTGTTATCTAAAAATAGCTCTGTCGTAGTGTAAATCAAGAGCAGGGTTAGTAAAACCATTGGTTAGTTATTAAAACGTTTTTTATTAATTTTTTTTTCAGTATTTTACATGTTTTATTTACAATAGAGTATAGAGTAACATGACTAAAAACCATTGCGCGCCCAGCTACCGAACGTGACGTCGCAGCCATTGAACGTGATGGCGCAGCTATTGAACGTGATGACGCGTGTGGTGTGGTTGCATAAAATGCCTACTAATTCGGTCCAAATTTTAATTAATTCAAAAAAATTTTTGTGACCGAACGAAAGGATATTTTTGAAAACTTTCTTCGGCAATATTGTTTTAAATTATGAAAGGAATCGATTGGTACATGTTTCAAGTCGCTAAGTGGTCTGGTTGCCGAGATATGGGCCAAAAACTGCTTTTTTTCGAGGTTTTTTGGCTTTTCCGGGAAATCCATGAAAGAAACCCGGAATTTTTATGGCCTATGTTCATCCTCGTAACTTGCTTAACATAATTGCTTTTGGAACTAGTCATCGATATTGCTTCGTTGAGGAGGAGATACGACTTAAAGCTGCGGACACACATCCATCCATCCATCCATCCATCCATTCATTCATACATTCATACATCCAGAAATGACGGGTTAATAAACGCAATTCTCCAGAATGGAAATTGCGCTAAAAAATGTGTTGTTTGTTTAGACTTTTTTTTAAAATACAGTACAATAGGTTAATAAAAATAAAAATCATTATAAACAATGTGTTATTTACTGTTTTGCTTTTTTAACAGTACAGTATGTTAATAAAAGATCAACAATAATTGTGAAATATTATTAGGAAGTATTATTTGTTGTTTTGCTTTTTTAATACATCAGTGGATATTTATTAAAAAATAGTGATTCACCATTATGTACACAAACTAAGTGTATTTCCAATATCATTAAAAATATACATTGTAAAACAGAGAAACCAACTTATTTTTAAAACTCTCTTTAAAAACAAAGAAGCAAACAAAAATCTTACCAAATCTCTTTTATACACTGCATCCCATTGGCCAGGTACATCATAGTAAAACAAGAGATTTTGAATTCCATATTTCTGAAAAAAAAAAAACATTTTGATTAACAGTTTTCCAGTTTATAAAAAAAAAATCATTTGAGTTTAACATGATATTTCCCTTTAAAAAAAATAATAGCTACAACATAATGAAGAAAATATTAAATTCAGGGACTGGGAAAATGGAACTGTGTACAAAAAACTGGGTATTTATTTATTATTTTATTTTAATTTTCTTAAATCAGCATTCATAGACTTTAACAGAGAGTGACTAATGTACATTGTAGCATAATAAAAAAAAATAAAAAAAATAATAATATAATAATAAAAAATATTTCCACTAAATATGATAAAATTAAAGTTTATAATTTGTATTTTTCTATTTGTACAGTTTTCTGTGGAGCAGTTTCCAGTTTTCCAATTGTGAATTTTCTGGGAATTATATAATACATATATGACAATTATATAAAATACTTCACATATCTTTAAATGATGTTTATGTGTTTAAAAAGTCTTACTGTAGGATACTCTAACTTATAGTTCATGTTCCCGATGTTGCTGAGGAAGCAGAACCTTGTTAGGAACATCCAGTCCTGAAACAACATAAAATAAAATGTCTCTATATTGTTAACCAAATTCTTAAAAACAATCATTTAGAAGCAAGGCAATTTTCAGTCAATTTGCAAATTATTACACTGAGCAGTGATAATAAGTGACAATACTACACAGACGCATAGGCAGGTGTTACATATATTTTTCAAATCATCCCCTCCACATACAAGTTGTAAAGCAATTAAAATTAGTATAATTAACAGGTCTATGAAAGAGACAGAGCAGGTTGGTGTTAGTTTTTAGTTTGGTGCCTAGTCTAGAGTCCATAAGACATATTTGAGCCCACTCAGCCCTGATGGGTACCTATCATTAATTGGAGAAAGTAAAAGAAGCTGGGCATAAAATTGAACACAGTATGCCTTTAATATAGAGCTCACAGAAACAGGTGTTAATTGTCCTAATTGTCATCTTGTCTGTGATGCCGTATCAAACTATACAGAACTTATGATGTCAATGTATTCAACCAGAATGAGAAAGGCTACACATGAGTAGATGATTAGGTCAATTGAGCTTTGTTGTATTTTACAATATGGGATACAATTAACAAGGTAAACATTATCCCAATATCAATGTGACCTTTATCTTTATAAAAGTAGTTTGGTTACTGTAGTAAATAGGGTTGGGTTTAGACGGGGAACAGGGCATTCCCCCCCCCCCCGTCAATTACCCCCCTGGACATTTCCCCCCCCCCTGACATTACCCCTGGTCAATTACCCCCCGCCCAGTAGGACATTTACCCCCCCCCCCCCCCGACTGGGTTAGAGTTAGGATTAGGGTTAGGGTTAGGTTTAGGCTTAAACCAATGTCTAGCTTTGGTTTTGTTTTTGTGTTAAGTTTTGGCTAAGGTGGATGCTTAGGTTTTGGTCTTTTTCTTAAGGTTAGGATCAAAGTAGTATATAGGTATAGAATTCTAGTTAGAGTTAGGATTCTAACTTGAGAGGGGGGGGGGGGGGGGGGGGTAATTGACAGGGAGGTAATTGACAGGGGGTAATTGCTCCAGGGGGAAATATGGGGGGGAATTCTGGGAGGGGGGGGTAATTTCCGGGGGGTAGGTCAAGTCCTGTAGCCGTTTAGACTTCAGCTTATAAATAGTATTAGATTCAGTATAAGGTTGTTAAATATGTAGGATTATTATATAACAGTTGTTATATATTTGATAGGGCCTAAAGTTAGATATGGCTAAATAAACTATGAAGCTCATGCCTTTGCCGTTAAAAACAAGGCTGGTCTGAAATCTGTTTCTAGCTACCAGGTTTAATATTGGCTTAGCCATAAACACTTGAACCGTTAAACATGTCAAAGAAAACTGTCACACAGGTGTGCCATAAAGGAAACAAGCATAAAAGACCAGGCGTAACTGGTATGAATAGGCCTAGGCTCAGTGTGTCTGAATCCGCTAAGGGCTAAATTTAAAAATAAAAAGGTGGAGAGCAGGCCACAGTGACCTATTTTTATTAAAGGAGAATATTGGTTTTCTTGGCCATGGGTGTTGACATTAAATGTATTACAACATAGTGTGTAGCTGAAAAAAAACCTATAGTCAAAATATAAATATGTAAAATAAACATTAAAAAAAAACTTTTTTTTTTTTTTGCTAAATTGAAATACCAGAAGTATTTTTACCCGAAATTTTTAGTAGCTCATCTACTTAGTGTCAAAACAAAAATGTAAAATAAACAAAAACATCTGTTGTTTGTTTGCTAGAAAATCACATACCAATGGATTTTTAAGAACAATTTGTCAATTAGTAGCTTATTGGAAACAAAATCATAACAAACCATTTTAGTTTCTTAATTTATTTAATTTTTAATTAAAAATAAAATAACTTTATAAGCTCAATAGGTCTAATGACACTACTACTATAGATTTTGTTTATTAATGCAGATTCAGTAGGCCCTAACCTTCATTATGTTTCAATAATAATAATAGATACACTAAAATATTAGTAGGTCTACCCATAAAAGCTAAGCTTCACGAACATCTAACAAGGTGTGCTATATTTGAGGTTGATATACAATGTATGTTAATTTGTTTAGATTTTTCATCATTGATATTTGTTTTAGAATTCATCTATCCATTTCCAAGATGTTTAATACTATATAGTAAGTACATTATTGGATATGAACTCATTAGGAAAGATGCTAAGACAAAATAAAAACAAAGGTACTAGAAATCTTGATTAATTAAACAATAAAAAAATGACCTTGGCAGCTATACATTACTAATATTTCCATGCTCTCCTGTTACGTTTGGCGTGTAGTGTTAAAACCCTAACCCTACTGATCTCACCACAGATGATAATCCTAAACTTAAATTACTCAAACAAGCAACACCAGCAGAAGATTTTATAAAGTAAAAACCTGGATGTATACACTTAGAATACACTAAAGTAACAAAGCAGTCTTTTACTTCATAAAGAACAGAGAAGTAACCAAGGAAAAAAAATAGCTATTCCACCACCACCCCCTCCCCTTTCAACAGAATCGTTTAATACTGAAATAATATAGATGCTCTATGTATGACTGTATGCATGTAGTATGTGATGCATGCTGCAGCATGAGAAAATTGAGACATGGTGAATTAATAATGATAAACCCAATAAAACATTTTAGGCCTAAACCTGACTTAATATAGAAGAATGTATCTGATACATTGACAAATTCATTCTATCAGGCTTAAGAATGAAAATGCCTAGGCCTAGGGTCTAGGCCTAAATAATAAAATATAACATAAAATAATAAAATAATTAGGCGGCCTAGGGCCTAGTTCTTTTGATTTCTAATTTAAAATTATCTAGATCTAGAACAGCAGTTCTGTTAAAGACTAAATTCTAAAGTACTCTAAAGTACTAAAACTAAAGACTAAAGTGTCGTAACACTCTTAGTCTTAACTTAAACTGAGTTTTTTAAACTCTTTTAAATTTTTAAGTGATGTTCACAGTCATTTTACTCATTTATTATTAATTATTATTATTATTTAATTTCAAGTGGATTTTCTTTAGATCTAGAAGACTTATTAGTAGACTAACTACAGAGTTGCAGAGTGTACAGATTCATGGTGCCAGAGACCAGAGGCAAAGCAGAGACTTTTTATTTTTTTTAACTTTTTACCTCAATTTCAAAATTTTAATTTTAGATTTTTTAAATTTTTAGTTTTAATTAAGTTTTAGATTTTAGTCTTACCGAATCTGTTTTTATTGTCCCTTCTACCCATTTTGTTTGTATGTCCTGTACACAAGTCAATACGAGAATTACAAAAACAATAACGATTCTATCAATGGCAAACATTCCTCCAGTGTTTTTGAAGTGTTTTGTTACAAGTAGGGCTGAAAGACTTGTTATTGCGATTGTAAAACAACATCCACCATTTTGAAGTATAAGTCACGTGACGGTCGCCGAGACGACAGTCAACAATACCTAAGGCCTAGTCAATTAATTTTGCTTTCTTCTTAGCAAGAAGAACCGTAACAGGGATTCTCAATCCATTTTCATTTTACTTCGAACTGTGGAATAATGGAAAATGTTATAAGACTTTAAGAAATGAAGATCAAAACTCGACATCTATCTAAAAACTCTCAAAATACGTTCTGATAACAACACTTTGCTTGACTATTATTATTAATATTAAATTAAAATTAGGTCATTCATTACATTTAATTAATAATTACCTTAGCATTAGGTTAGGGCAGTTAGGGTTAGCATTAATAATTAGGTTAATTAGGCTTTTGGGATCTAAACTAATTGCTAAATTACTTCTTTGAAGGCCTTATGCCTTATACTATAAATAGCTCTAATATTTTTAATATATAATAAATAGGCCTAGTGAATAAGGGCGGGGTTTGTTAGAGTATTAAAAAATAGGAGTAAATGATAGTATGGCTAAACACTAAAAATATAATAAAATACTTAAAAAAAACTTTTTAAAAAACCACGTTTTTCTTGTGGACTAAAAAGTAGAAAATAACTATTTACATACATTTGATGACAAAAAACGTGGGTACGTTCACCATCAAATTTCCCGACCCATCTGCCCGACCCACGTTTTTTGTCATCAAATGTATGTAAATAGTTATTTTCTACTTTTTAGTCCACAAGAAAAACGTGGTTTTTTAAAAAGTTTTTTTTAAGTATTTTATTTTCTCCTTTTTAGTCCGTTGCTACACATGAAAAACGTGGTTTTTAAAAAAGTTTTTTATATAGTTTATTTTCTACTTTATCTAATGACTTGATTAAGTATGAATTGACTAAGTGTTTATAAATACACGGACTAAAAAAATCTTGAGCGACCAGGATTCGAACCTGGGTTGTCGCGGCCACAACGCGAAGTACTAACCACTCTACCATCACGGCCAGCGCGCTCACATCGATTGGGGCCGAAGTAACTGTGTCAATAAGCCTCCAGTCTTGTCGGTATCTTTAGAAATCATGTCCTCAATTTTATGGTCCTTTGGGCGTAATTAAATTAAGCTAATTACGGTCTCTAATTGCTAGTTTTTATAATTGCATCTGAAATTGTTAGGCGAAAGTAGCCTGCATGCCAAATTTCAGAACTATAGAACAATCAGAAGTGGGCTAATTTTCGATGTCAATTTTAACAACAAACACACAAACGCGAAGCTGAGTTAATAATAAAATACTTAAAAAAAAACTTTTTAAAAAACCACGTTTTTCTTGTGGACTAAAAAGTAGAAAATAACTATTTACATACATTTGATGACAAAAAACGTGGGTACGTTCACCATCAAATTTCCCGACCCATCTGCCCGACCCACGTTTTTTGTCATCAAATGTATGTAAATAGTTATTTTCTACTTTTTAGTCCACAAGAAAAACGTGGTTTTTTAAAAAGTTTTTTTTTAAGTATTTTATTTTCTCCTTTTTAGTCCGTTGCTACACATGAAAAACGTGGTTTTTAAAAAAGTGTTTATAAATACACGGACTAAAAAAATCTTGAGCGACCAGGATTCGAACCTGGGTTGTCGCGGCCACAACGCGAAGTACTAACCACTATACGATCACGGCCAGCGCGCTCACATCGATTGGGGCCGAAGTAACTGTGTCTATAGGCCTCCAGTCTTGTCGGTATCTTTAGAAATCATGTCCTCAATTTTATGGTCCTTGGGGCGTAATTAAATTAAGCTAATTACGGTCTCTAATTGCTAGTTTTTATGATTGCATCTGAAATTGTTAGGCGAAAGTAACCTGCATGCCAAATTTCAGAACTATAGAACAATCAGAAGTGGGCTAATTTTCGATGTCAATTTTAACAACAAACACACGCGAAGCTGAGTTAATAAAAACGTGTTAAAAACGTGTTAAAATACGACCTGACCCGCGACGTAGCATACGCCGCTATCTCTAGTTGTTTTATTTTCTACTTATCAATATCATTATTATCAACAATTCATAATTTGTGAATTCGACACTATGGTCTCCATGAAGAGATTTATATATATATATATATATATATATATATATATATATATATATATATATATATATATATATATATATATATATATATATAGGCTTATAACAGTTGAGATCAGTGTTTCTTCCAGACTTTTTATCTCCGGGGGCGCACTTGAAATCTTCGGGGGGGGGGGCGGTAAACTTTCTTCGGGGGGGGGGGGGGGCGGACACTGTTAAAAGTATATACTTTCTATATAAATTATATAAATTTCATTTCGTTCGGGGGGGCGGTAAAAAAATTTCGGGGGGGCACTTCCCCCCCCCCCCCCCCCGAAGAGATGCCTGGAAGAAACTCTGGTTGAGATTTGATTAAAAGCAGTTTAATAAGGAAGGGCGCAAGACAACTCTTTTTTACTTTCTCGTATATACGAAGTATAGAGAAAGTCTTGTAATCGTGCAAAAAAAAAAAATCGAGATTTTTGCAAATCTCGACGTTTTGCATCTCACTGATACGGAAAAACATAATTTTGCAATCTTGTCCGTATGTCTGTGTGTGTGTGTGTGTGTGTGTGTGTGTGTGTCCGTGTGTAAACACGATAACTTGAGTACCGTTACAGCTAGGTTGATGAAATTTCATATATAAGTATTTAATCAAAATCGTAGATCCGTATCAACTTTTGAGCGATTTCCGATAACCGGAAGTGGTACTTTTCCTACTTTGAATTTTTCAAAAGCCTATAACTTGAGTACTATTTCAGATAGATAAATGAAATTTCATACGTAAGTAAAAGATCTAATTCTCTACCTTCTATTAAATTTTGAGTCATTTCCGTTGACTGGAAGTGGTACTTTACGCTACTTCCGATTTCTCAAAAAACTAATGTAAATTTTAAAAGTAATAATAATATTGCGCACTATTATGCGCTTTTTTATTTCGCGTTCACTTGGTGTGCAATTAATTTGTCTACGAGATTTTATTCTATTTTTAAAACTTTAAGTATTTAAAATGGATTAAAAATCATGTCTATAGTCCGAGTTCCCATCCCCTGTTATTTTATATAAGAATATTCGAGAAAGTTTAGGGGAGATCACTCCCGGTTTATTTTATTTGTTTTTGTTTTTTCATACTGAAACAATTTTTATTAGGTCTACAGATTTGATTTTCTTCTATAAACACAATACTGTATTATATAATATTGATTTTCTTTTCACATACTTTAGGCCTATTGATTTTAATTAAAAATGTATTACTCAACTTTTGTCGTGGTTTGTGTATGAAGGAGAAGTGGTTCCTAGATACGTTGAATATTATCCAGATAAGCCATACCAAAAAAAAAGTTAATCCCGCCACCCAAAAAAAAGGTTATAAGAAAGTATTTGAAATGTGTTCTTTTAGTTTATAACCCTAATCCAAACCAGAGGGGGGGGGGTGCGGACCGCACCGGTGACACCATTTAGGGGGTGACACCAAGGCAAAAATAGCAAAATATATACAGAAAAATGATAATTCCGCTTAATTAAGTAATTAATTCGAGTGTTAAATAGCCTTTTAAGAGGTGCAAATCGAAAGTTTGAGGGGGGGGGGGCGCAAATCGAAAGTTTGAGGGGGGGTGCAAATCGAAAATTGAAAGTTTGTTCCCGGGAAGGGTCGCTACTCCTCTAGGGGGGTGACACATTAAGTGCAGCACCGGGTGACACCCGACCTTGCTACGCCACTGATCCAAACCATATCACTAGAGGCAGGTATGGAGTTATTTTTATGGCGAGCGTTTCAATATTAAAATAGATCTATCTATTATCCAGACATCAAAAATAGTCTTTACTGATACTAAGGTTAGATTATGACCACAATGCAATCCGACGATTGCTAGATCTACTTTTTTTATGCTTGTGATTTTCTTTGTCAGTCCAAATGATTTTAAACACATATTTCTAAATATTATAAAGGGGAGTTAACTAGGTAGCAATCGCATTCGATGGTTTCTCATGGGAAATATTAATTGGAGTGTCAAGAAAAATCGGCTTAGAAATAATCAATACAATAGGCATACTAGGCCTAATTGGTATTAAACAATAATTTTTGCTTACTTTGTTTGTTTATCTTTACTATCTAAATACTAAAAAGTAGAAAACGTTAAAAATTATATTTATTATTATTATATTTATGTTTATTTTTATGTATAAAAACAGTAGATAAGTATTATCATATCAATTAGGTACTTTTTTGTTGAAATGCCATTTAATTACACATTCGCATTTTCAGGTTTTAAAATAAAATTGTAACTAGATGTCGTGTGTGAAATATCATATGGCACAACGCAATAATGCTTGAGAATCCTTGCTTCACTACATTGTTCATGAGAACTATTTTGACTGATATCGTTTGAAGCTAATGGTATTGCTGATAAGCATGCCTGGGACTAATATGGCCTACAAAGCCAAACTTTGTTTTATAAGCGTTCTATGATTTATAACCATCAATTGATTGTTGAAATCGTGATCCACTGAGTGTTTAACTTTATCATAAAGAGATTTATTGAGCTCATAAGTGCCATTATAGTGTAGATTTAGTGAGCTCCTAGGTACCATTAACCTTGTAAGAAAATTGGTACTCCATTTTAGAGGAGTCTTTTGTGAAGTGCTTTTAAAAGTAAAACTCTAGGCCTATATAGGCAGGTTATGATAATAGGTGTATGTGTTTATGGGAGGGGGGGGGTATGAAGGAGGAGGGGTTAAACCCCTCTACTTCCATAATTAGTACAACTGTGTCACATTACAAGCTTCAAGCATAGGGAAGTTACAATAAACGAACCCTAATGAGGCCTATATGTCCAAGTAATCCATTATTGTCTCAAATAACTTTTCTTAAATTCCCCTTATCTCAGACCAATGTCATTCTTCAAGCACATTAGTAAATGCATGTGTCCTTAACAGAATGTAAAATTTAGAAAAGGACAGCGGATGTATT